TATACACAGGTTGGTCACAAGTATTCCATTCCCCTGTCCATACCATTTTAACACCCTATTCAGTTTTGGATGCCTTGAAAGACTAGTAAAACGTATTGCACTGGAATAAGAGGCATAGAAATTCCTTTCAAGATATCCCACATTCAATCCATGGGTTTTTTACAGTCCTAATGATGCCCATTGAGAATGGCATTCCATTTCAGCTGTTGTATAACCTTTGGACCTGATCCAAGGAATGTGTGGAGCATGTGCTAAACACCTACAATTCCCATTGACTTTAGTGGGAATTGCTGGGACTCGGCAGATTCTCAGCAGCTCAAAAGATCAAGTTCTTTGCCAGTTCACTCATGTAGCTTAATGAAGCAGATTGTTATAGGCAAAAGTGTTTCACATTTTCATAAAATCATCATGATCCTATTTTCATTATCATGAGCACTATTTTTTCTCTGTTGGCCTTGATTACTTGCACAGGCATCAAAATACATCTTCATTTGATTGTGGGATGTGTGATTAATGGGAGGATGCCTTTCTTTCACAAGCTGAAGCACAATATAGCTGAGTGGTTTGAGCATTGGCCTGCTAAACCCAGGGTTGTGAGTTCAAACCTTGAGGGGGCCACTTAGGGATCTGGGGCAAAATCAGTACTTGGTCTTGCTAGTGAAGGCAGGGGGCTGGACTTGATGACCTTTCAAGGTCCCTTCCAGTTCTTGGAGATAGGATATATAAGAATGTACTTTGTTTTATTGAAGAGTTTGTTGGATGAAAAACACGGTCCATGCCAGTTACTAATCCTAACTAGTTTGAAGCTTTAATAAGAAAGTTTTAGGACAATATACTACCACCTCAATCAAGTATAAAGCATAAGTAAAGCAGATAGAGCAGGATAGCGTAATGATCAGGTACTCAGTCCTGGGGCGCTGGTAGGGCTGTTTCTGTCATCAACAGTTCCATGCTGGTCCAATCTGGTATAAATCCTGTGCTGCTCCATACCCCCTTTGTTAAACAAACATCCTTTATAACTTTTCTTGTAACACGATGAAGGTGCAGATTATTAAAACTACCTCATCTATAAACATTCTATTCTAAATGTATTTTCATATACACTAACCCAAAATCCTTATAACTGATACATTTTTACTTATTCTGCTAAAACTCTAATTGGTACCTCCTTCGCTATCTTTTTTTAAAGCTCTTACTATCCTCCTACTTACTCAGTCCAGCTGTCTTTTCATTGCTTTCATGTATTTCATTGTTACTTACGTTTGTCTTATTCTATTTTATAAGCTTATTGTAGCCTTGGAATTAGTTGGGGATTGGTCCTGCTTTGAGTAGAGGGTTGGACTAGATGACCTCCTGAAGTCCCTTCCAACCCTGATATTCTGTGATTCTACTGGTTGGCTAGCTCCTTTCAGTCAGTGTTCATCGTCCCTAGTCTGTTTTACTAGGCAGGTCTATATCTGGCTAGAAAATCGCACATTTCTCTGGTTTGCTTTGCTCTGTTATCTACACAGACCAAGAATCCAGTGTAGATAAGACACAAATCAACTTTTTGATTTTTTACAACCTTTGAAAGCTGTGTCAACAAGGCACATTCAGAAAGCAAAAAAGTTCCCTTTTACATTATCTTATAACACTATTAAATAGATATCTACTTCTCCAATGTTATTTAATATGGTTTTTATAACACAGTTCATTATACCTATTTTTACAAGCTTATTGCATAGCGATAGTGTTTTGCTGAAATGAAATTTCTTCATTATGAACCTGAGGTTTGTTTCTAATGTGTAAGCCTTGAATTGAAGTTAATATATTTCATAACATTTAGAACTTCAAGTATAATACTATAAAGTGAGTTTTCATTTAATTTTTATAACCAAAAAAAAGTAATGAACGTCAGGCAATTGGATTGCACTAGACAGGACAGTTCATTATAATGTTGAAAGTGCTTTGCTTGTTGTGTAGAAGCCTAACAATGCATTCACATTATATATTTTAGTTCATTTTGGGGCTCCAGTCCCTATATGTGAAGGACCCTTTATCTCAGGTTGTTTTGCTTCTTTGATGACCAAGTGCATCACTGCCATGGTGGTTCAGCATGTCTTCTCCTTGGTAAATCATTAATGTAGAGCAGTGATGTTCAACCTTTTTTCATTTGCAGACCCCTAAAAAATTTTTAATGGAGGTGCAGACCCCTTTGGAAATCTTAGACATAGTCTGCAGACTCCCAGCGGTCCGTGGGCCACAGGTTGAAAACCACTGGTGTAGAGGAAGAAAGGAAGTTTGGTGCCTTTGAAAATGTATCAAATGTAGCAGTCTAATGTCTGATGAACACTCATGAGTCTCGTAAAGGACCATAGTTGGCTAAATGACCCTAAGGAACTTAAGTGGAACATGTATCAACATAAACACAAGAGTAATAGGATGGGCTCCTTTGGTCTGCTTTTATGCCATTTTTGAAGTTATTTGTTTCCAATAATGCTACGTCAAAGTCCCCAGAACAGCTTGTAGTTTAACTCTCACAGTATATGGATGCACCAGAACAGTGGTGATGGACTGTGATTTCCAAGTTACAGCATTTCCTCAATCTCAGACATATCTGTTCAGCAGGGATTTTTGTCATCTGATAGGGAGCAGACATGGTTGGTTGGTCAGATTTTTTTTTTTAAAGCTGACATTGTCTGAATTTGTGTCCATATGATTTAGCTGTTAATTTAAATTTTTGTATTAAGATGGGTGCTTAATAAATCATTCAATAAACAAAACAATCACGTTAGCGTCTCTTAACTTAATTTTATATTACTTTTTGAATTGCATCACTATCTTTGTATGAAGCCAAAACAGTAAACAGAATTGAAATATATATATATATACACACACACACACAGAGTATAAGTATATGTACATACTTTCTAAAATTGCACTAAAGGTCTGATTTTAAAAAGTGGTCTCCATTTTTGCACCCACAAATATTTGTAGATATAAATGCTCCTGTTAGCTGTCAGACTACCTGATTTCACTCTCACTTAGATGTCTGTAGTGGGCACTTTTCTTTGCAGATGCTAAACTGTCTTTGCAATACTGGAAGCTATTTTAAAAATCTGTCCCTAAAGCCCTGCTCCCACAGAAGTCAATGGGATTTTTGCCATTGACATAATTGAGTCTGTAAGGGTAAAATTTGTCCCTGTGCAGGGGGCTGGAACAAGGCCTATGTCCCGCTCGAATCATCAAAATAAAACTGAAATGATGCAGTGATGCTTATCCTCTGATCATGGATGAACACCCTGACGGAGGATTTCAGGGTTGCATTACTTAGGCTTTGGCTACACTGGCGCTGTACAGCGCTGTAACTTGCTGCGCTCAGGGGAGTGAAAACGCACCCCCACCCCCGAGCGCAGCGAGTGCAGCGCTGTACAGCGCCAGTGTAATCAGCACCTGCAGCGCTGCGCGCTCGCTCGCAGCACTGCACGCTATTCCCCTCGGAGAGAGCTCTCGCAGCGCTGGTGGCGCAACTACACTCGCGCTTCACAGCGCTGCCGCAGCAGCGCTGTGTATCCCCAAGTGTAGCCAAGGCCTTGGCTGCCTTAAACCTGGAGCAATATAAATGGTAGAAGTAAAATTATTCATTTGAGTGTATTCTGCATAAAATGTTTTGATCATATGATTATATAGCCTTAAAACTGCAGAGTCATTCAAAGTACTGTGCGGGGTCAGGAGAAAAAGAATATGTCTTGCTAAGTGTTCCTCATAAGTGCAGATAAATAAGTGAAATTAGTTTCCAAGTGAAACACTTCCTTTAGTTTAGGAGGTTGTGAATATTTTTAGCCACAAAGGACTTAAGTAACCTTACCATATTTGACAAGGTAAGATTGCTGGAAGGAAGCTATCATTCCCTTATAAAGCAGGGCAAAAAGATTGATACTTCATAAAAACATAAACTTGAAATATGTATATTCTTTAATAGTGTATGTCATCGTTTAAAAAAATAACTCAGGATAAAAATACATGTTGGAGTTGATGGCTAAATTAGTATCTCAAAGCTAGAAATATTTGCTTTTGGAATCAAATGAATGACAAATATAATAAAGGAATAAAGTATTGCATACCAGGCAAAGTATGTGCTTTTAATAAAGACAAATCTCCTGAGTGCTAGAATATACTGTTGGATCAGATAGAGTTTCAGTCTATGTAGGCAGTATAGATATAATTAGATTTGAGCTGCAAATAGTCTACATATCTCATGTGGATTGTCTTTTTAATGTAATGTAAATATTGTAATGTCAAAAAAATTGACTCTATTCATTCATCATCTTTATGAAAATTGTTGTATCTTATCACGAGAGACCATCATGAGATTTTTCCTAAGTGATATAGCACTGGGCTATGGTATGAATGTGGGAGTGAGAGTATAAATCATGTCTCTGCTTGACTGCACTTGGTAATGCTTTATCAGCTCCATACCCTCTAGACTGATTAAGAGCTAATAAAGTGAACACTTCTTTGTGTGAATAGTAATGTTACATTTCCTTTGTACAAAACATTAAACATGCTTATGTCTCATTAATGCCTGTGTACTGAACTGGAAAAATAGCTTTTTGTAAAGAAGAAAAACGGAATCTCTAGCTCAACGGTTCTCAGACTTTTCATAGTGTGGCCCACATATTCATAAAGAGATTATCCTGTGTCTACCCCCTCCCCTTCAGGATTGCACTAAGCACATTAAGATGGCTCCTCTTTCCTGACCCTATTAGAGGTAGGTAGAATGGCTCCTCCTCCTTGTTCCCAGTGTCTTCACTAAGAAGAGTTTGGACACCTGTACAATCAGCTGGAAAAAAGGAGGAGCCAGCACCGTGGGCTGTGCCAGCTCCACAGATCACATATTGGGAACTGTGCCCAAGCTATTTTGGCCTTAGGAAAACAGAAGGGACAACTATTTCAAAAGAAAACTTGTTGGAAATATGATTGTTGGTACAACTTTAAGTGAGATACTTTTTCCCTTACAGGATTACTTACTGCCATCTACCTTTCCAAAGTAAATGGCTCTACGTTGGAACAGAGAGGGGAAATACACATATTGTAAATATTGAGTCCTTCATTCTTTCTGGATACGTTATAATGTGGAACAAGGCAATAGAACTGTAAGTGTGGACTTTTCTATCACTTTCACGTTGCTGGCAGTTCTTTTCAGATTCTTTGCTGAAATAATTACTTGGTCATAACTAATCACTAGAATTATTTTGTAGTCTCCTGTTTTAAGGAACATTTTGGTGCAGTACTGATTGTGATTCATCACAAGAATTTTTCAAGGAAATTCAGTTTCTAGGTATATTATAGTGATATCACACTAGCTTGTTTGATTCAACTGAGGATCACTTCCTATATAACATCACAGCACATTTATAGTGAAAACAATCAAAAGATTATTACCAAAGGCTAAGATTTAAGAGATAGTGAGTAAGAATAATAATGAAACACAGAAAAGTTACATATAAAGCAAAATTTTAACACACTTCCCAGAATCTGCACTAAACAGGTAAAATCCTTGTCTAAAGTAGTTTCTCTCATCTCCCAGCATCTCCAGCCAACGTGGCTGGCATCCCTCTTATGAATGTTAAAGCACTACCTTGATGAAAGATAAAGAGGGGTCCTTTTGCCTTCTCCTTATATCCCCCAAAATTCATTATTTTGTCTCCAGTGGTCAGGATGACCACCTGGGGCTTATTCCCCAGTGTGCTGACTTCATGGTGACTTTATTTCCTCATGTTGACTTTGTATGCAAATGTATGCATTGTCTTGTCTTATAATGCTTAATTTAATGTGAAACAATGTAGGCAGGTGAACATACATCCTTTATCTAGTAGAAACCTGTTTGTCAACCCTGCCTTGAAGGTGCACTGCACCAGCCCACCGCCGCCACCTTTGCAGTCTGAGAGCAGGGGCACCAGAAGCTCCCTAGAAGTGGGAGGGGCCCACCAATGCTCAGACCAGGGCCCAGCCCCGCCTCTTTCCTGAGGCCCTGCCTGCTGCTCACTCCTCTCCACCCCCTCTCCCCCATCACTTGCCCTTAAGGCAGGAAAAAAGTGAGAGGCAGAAGCTGTAATCTCTAGAAGACTCTTTCTCCATTGGTGGTGGGTGCTACAGGTTCTGCCTCTCACTGGCTGGCCTAGCTGTGGGACTCCTCCTCCTGCTATGCTGATGCTGGAGCAACTCAGCTTTATATCTGCAGGGGCGCCAGAACAGGCGGGGGAGGAGTCAGGGAACTGTGGCCCCATCAATTTTAAATGTGGGAAGGCTTTGCCCTCCCACTTTTTACCAGCCGTGAGTGGGTGGAGAGGAGCGAATGGTGGGTGAGGCCTTGGGGGAAGAGGCGGAGGAGGGGCGGGGGCTTGGGGTTGGAAGCATGGGCAGAGCCATGGTAGGAGGTGAGGAGCAGGGGAACAGGGCCATGATCCAGGCACCGGTGGCCAGTGTTCCCTCTAATTTTTTACGTCCATGTGCTGAATTAATTTTGTTATTTGCACCAATATGGAGGTGTGTGACACATCACCTTCATATTGGTGCACATAACAAAATTCATGTGGTGGGGGTGGGGCCAAGGGGTTTGGAGTGTGAGAGGGAGCTCAGGGCTGGGGCAAAGGGTTGGGGTGTGGGGGGGATGAGGGCTCTGGCTGGGGTTGTGGGCTCTGGGGTGGGCCTGGGGATGAGGAGTTTAGTGTGTGGGAGGGGGCTCATGGCTGGGGCAGAGGGTTGGGGTACAGGAGTATGTGGGCTCTGGGGTGGGGCCAAGGATTGGGGTGTGGGCTCTGGGGTGCAGCCAGGGATGAGGGATTTGGGCTGCAGGCTGCCCTGGGGCTGCGGTGGGGAGAGATGATTCCCCCGAGCCCTCTCTCGCCGCAGCAGCTCAGGGCTGGGGGAGAGGTGCCTCTCCCTGGCCACGGCAGCTCCGGCGGGGCTGGGCTGAGGGAGGGGCACATCTTCCCCAGCTGAGGCAGGTATGCGCTGGGGCCAGCGGTGAGAGATGCCTCTCCCCGCCACTGCAGGTCCGTGCTGGGACCGGCGGAGAGGGGCACCTCTCCCTGCCGCAGCCCTGAGCCCCTGCGTGGGGTTTAATAGGCAGCTGTGCAGCTTAGAGGGAAATTAGCCAGTGGTCCCCCACTTCTAGGGAGTTTCCAGCACTCTTAGGCGTAGCCTCCCCAGACAAAAGACTCAGGCTCTACCTATGGGATGGGGCAGATCTTTCACCTTTCTCATAGATTCATAGACTTTAAGGCCAGAAGGGACCATCATGAGAATCTAGTCTGACTAGTTTAAACCTGCAAGTGACCCGTGCCTCAGGCTGCAGAGAAAGGCAAAAAGCCCCAGCGGTCTCTGCCAATATGATCTGGGGAGAAAATTCCTTCTTGACCCCATGTATGGCGGTCAGTTGGACCATGAGCATCTCAGCAAGACCCACCACCAGCCAGATACCTGGGAAAGAATTCTCTGTAGTAACTCAGAGCCTCCCCATCTAGTGTCCCATCACCAGCTGTTGGAGATATTTGCTGCTAGCAGTCACAAATGGGCTACATGCCACTGTAGGCAGTCTCATCATACCAGCCACTCCATAAACTTTTCAAGCTCAGTCTTGACGCCAGTTAGGTTTTTTGCCCTCACTGCTCCCCATGGAAGGCTGCTCCAGAACTTCACTCCTCTGATGGTTAGAAACCTTTGTCTAATTTCAAGCCTAAATTTATTGATGACCAGTTTATATCCATTTGTTCTTGTGTCAGCATTGGCACTTAAGTTAACTCTCTCCCTCCCTGATATTTATTCCTCTGCTGTATTTATAGAAAATAATCATTTCTCCCCTCAGCCTTCGTTTGGTTAGGCTAAACAAGCTAAGCTCTTTGAGTCTCCTCTTGTAAGGTAGGTTTGTCATTCCTCAGATCATCCTAGTAGCCCTTCTCTGTACCTCTTCCAGTTTGAATTAATCTTTCTTAAACATTGGAGACCAGAATTGCACACGGTATTCCAGATGAGGTCTCACCAGTGCCTTGTATAATAGTAATAACACTTCCCTGTTCTACTGGAAATATCTCACCTGATGCATCCTAGGATTGCATTAGCCTTTGTGACGGCTCCATCACATAGTCATCCTGTGATCAATCAATATGCCCAGGTCTTTCTCCTCCTCCATCACTTCCAACTGTAAATCCTCAGTTTATAGCAAAAATTATTGTTATTAGTTCCTAAGTGCATGACCTTGAAATTTACACTATTAAATTTCATTCCATTTCTATTACTCCAGTTTTCAAGGTCATCCAGATCTTCTTGTATGATACTTCAGTCCTCCTCTGTATTGGCAATACCTCCCAACTTTGTGTCATCAGCAAATTTTATTAACACAATCCCACTTTTTCTGTCAAGGTCATTAATAAAAATGTTAACTAAGATTGGTCCCAAGACTGATCCCTGAGGAACGCCACTAGCAGTCCCCCTCCAGCCTGACAGTTCATGTGTCAGTCTGGCTCACTGTAGTCTTCCCTTTAACCAGTTCCTTACCCACCTTTCAATTCTCATATTAATCCCCATCTTCACCAATTTAACTAATGGTTTCCCATGTGGAAGAGTATCAAATTCCTTCCTGAAATCCAGGGAAATTAGATCTACTGCATAGCCTTTGTCTAAAAAATCAGTTATCTTCTCAAAGAAAGAGATCAGGTTGGTCTGGCACGATCTACCTTTTGAAAAACCCTGTTGTATTTTATCCCAATTACCTTTTATTTCTATGTCCCTAATTATTTTCTCTTTCCAAATTTGTCCCAAGACCTTACATATCATTAAAGTCAAACAAACAGGCCTGTAGTTTCCCAAAATCACTTTTTTCATCTTTCTTAAAAATAGGTATTATATTAGCAATTCTCCAGTTACGGGGTACAACCCCCGAGTTTATAGCTTCATTAAAAATCATTGTTTCCATGCCCAATCAGTCCAATGCTTCTCCTCAGGTAGGCTGTGGGTAAGAAGCCACAGTCTAATCCTTAATTGTACATTCATACCAATAGGACAGTCATATTTCCTGAATGAAGAATGCAGGATTGGTAATAATGCTAGTGCCATAGCCTGATAAATATTTTCACATTTCTAAAATGAAATAATATATATAAACAGAAATAAAAGCAACGTTTCTGGGAACCTTAGAAAAAGAGGTGAGTGATTAGGAGCTGTTTTAGGGGAAAAAACAGCAAAATGCACTTAGCAATTGAAAGATGGAGAAGGGTTCTGAAAATTTACTAGAGAGAAAATGAAATAGAAAGTTTTTAGAATAAAGGAAGATTGGATAGATAATCTAGCTTCTGTCTTTCAGGGAGAAGAGACAGGTGAACTGTGGTGAATAAGGGAATCAAATAATATGTTTAAATAATGGCTTAAAGACATGCTAACATGGTAACATCTAGAGTGCAATAGGACCCTGAAATCAGCAGGGAAAATAAGTGTGTTACTTTACTATAACTGAGTGAGATGATTTCATCCAGATAGCAAGAGCTGGGTCAACTTCTCAGCTTATTCTTATGCATTGACTGGGATATGTGCATGTGCATGTATTTCAAATCGGGCAGAGTCAACTAATTAAAAAACCCAGGTCTCTTAATACTAGAATTAAAACATTGCTATGGATCATGGACTCATCTGCCCCCCGATTTTTAAATCATTTTGCATCTTTGGAGTTCTTTTAACTTCTCATTGCTAGTGGATGCCCAAACCCATCTACAACTGGCAGAAAATTGTCTCCAGTCCTGTGGAACTCAGACCAGGCCACAGTGATTCTTGCATTTATGATCTCTAAATATTCACTGGGCCAGAGACAGAGAGAAAATGACCCTATAGCCTGGTGATTAGAGCCCTCATCTAAGAGATGGGAGACCAAGGATCCAGTCCCCCTGCTCCAATGACTCCTTAATTTAAAAACATGCTACAGCTTCAACTGGAGACATTGAGGGCACTCCCCGCATTAGAATATCCCATAGCTCAGTGGCTAAGGCACTCACCTTATCAGGCAGAGGGAGGGTTTCAATCAGGGGATCTCCTGCATCCCACCTTAACCACTGTGTTAAAAGTTTTGAGAGAGGTGCTCCTCTTGACTGTTTTGTGTGGAGCTAGGTGGCCTCTGAGCACATCTACCAGATTGGGCCCCGCAGGTGAGATAGGCAGAGGAGCACCTATCGTTCCCCAATTGGTGGATCACCCTGGGGGCCTAGGCATCTGAGCGCCTAGAGCAAGGCAGCAGTGCACATGCCCAGAGGCAGAAGCATAGGTGCACAGGGAACTTTTACTGCAAAAACTTAGGCAATGCCTAAAGGGGGAGGCAGCAACTGAATGGAGGTTTTGGTAAATGCTAGTGGTTCCTAAATCTGGGATTTAAAATGGTAGTTATAATAATTAATGGAGATATCCCATCTCCTAGAACTGGAAGGGACCTTGAAAGGTCATCGAGTCCAGCCCCCTGCCTTCACTAGCAGGACTAAGTACTGATTTTGCCCCAGATTCCCAAGTGGCCCCCTCAAGGATTGAACTCACAACCCTGGGTTTAGCAGGCCAATACTCAAACCACTGAGGTATCCCTATGTGGTTAATATTTATTTTAATTATGTTTAAGGGTGAAAATGCACTAAAAGCTTAAGTAATGGGTGCATAATATAAATGCAGTATAATATCACAGAGAACAATGTTATATGGAAATACATAAGGCACAGGATCCATTTAGGGCATAGAGTCCATTGTGCACACAGAGGGAATGCTGAAAAGGTTAGATTTAAAGAGTTTTCTTATTTTTGGTGTCGATCATTTTTCGAGAAATCTTCCTAAAATATAGTCCAAGTAATGTAATCATTTTGCTAAAAAATGTTTGGTTATGCAGATTGTGTTGCTTAATTCACAGAGATAGTTGTAACAATTTATAAGGTGGCCTCTATTGTGGTGGGGAGAGGTGGAACATATAAGTAAGAACACATAGAACCTAATTTTCATCACACTTGCAAAGGTTTTTCAGAGATGTAACTGATGACTTCAGTTGAGATACTTTTGACTTTCAATGATATAAATAAGAGGAGAATCAAGCCCCTAGGCTCCATAGTCCAAGAAGGCAGCAAGAATATCTGTTTCCATCACCTCTGAAAACCATCCCTATGCAGGAAAAAAAAATCTGATAGCAACCCTGAAAAAAAAACCTTAAAATAATTTTAGAAAGTAAAATAGATAATTGGATTTTGAAGAAGAGCCTTTCTCGCTGCATGACAAAGATAGTAATATGGCAACCAAAGTGGGCAAAGAGGAAATAGATAAGTCCCTCTCTACAGCCAACGCAAGCAGATACCAATGCATTATATTACCTGAAATAAAAGATCTGCAAACTGATATTCACACTATATTAACAGGGATTGAAGAAGAGATTGCTGCTATAGGGGGAAGAGTTGCTTGTTATGGAAAAATGGGTTGGTAAGACTCAGTTACATATTTGCCAGACTAAAATAACAAAGCTGGAACAAAATGAAAGAGGTCTGCCAAATAAAATGGATAGTAATAACAGAGAGAGGCTAACATGTTATCTACACAGGGACATCCAGGAAATTTAATCCGAATTAACTACAGGTGTGATTTTGAAGTGGATTAGTTAAACCACATTAAATCCCTGTGTGGATGCTGTTGTTCAGAATTAAAGTGGCTTTAATTAAGTTTAGTTTAAAGTCACTTTGGAAGTGAATTAAAATAAATCAGATTAAGGGCACTTTAATTCTGAATGAGGGTGTTCACTCATCGTGTAATTAGACATAATATAGTATGAAAGCATCGCTCATATAACAATTTATATCCATTTATATGTATGCAGAATGTATGCTTTCATATGCAAAAATAGTTTTTTTTTAATGGCTGTTACACACATTTATCTAAATTGTTCCTGGGCTTCAAACTTACCATGCGTTAAAAAGGATAACTGGAATTTATAGTATAATATATGATTCTACATAAGGGGCAAGGTCTTTTGTTGTTGATTGTGTGCAAATATCCTCCACCATGGCGATTTTCCAAACAGTTTTGGGATGCCTTGTCTCTAACATACCTAACATCCAACATAAATCTCCTTTTTTATTGAAAGAATTTACATTGTTTTGAATTGATTTTGTTTTGCAGATCCACAAAGACTCACCCTGGCCCAGTTGTACACCTAAGTGATAGCCCAAGAGATGAGGGAAAAGTGAGTACAGTAACCAATGATGTAAAATATTTTAATTATGTAAAATATTTTTACATTTCATAACTCTCCCTGACCTAAGTAGTTTTTCCATTTCACTCATTCACTACTTAATCAGTTGCCTCCATTGTACGATCCTGAGGTCACTCTAAAATATTGCCTGGGAAAACTTTTGGAAAATATTGTAATTCCCTTTCTGCTGTACTGAGAAGAATATTCTGGTTTAAAAAATATGCTATATTTTGAAGTCCTCATTCAAGCAAAGCTACTGTTGACTGAATGGGAGTTTTTCCTGAGTAAAAATGAGATAAACTGTGTAAAGACTTCAGAATTTGACCAAGTATGTATTACAATGGGCACATTTATGAATTATTGTCTTTGACAAGAATATTGATGGCAATATTCTATAATTGGAGCTTGCTGCTATTTGTGAATAGAGATGAAGACAGCAAAGAGCTGTCAATCATGGAAGCCAAGTACCCCACAAGCCCAGCTCCTGACTCCAGTTCCTCAGACAGGCAGGCAATTTCAGAGCTCATGCTAGTGTGGCCAATTCCCCCGTCGCTACCTTTCTCCAGTTCTAATGGCTCTGCATCATACTCTAGGCCCTCCTCCATCCCATTAGAAGCTTTTGGTTCTAGATCTGTCCCTACTGGCTCCCTTCTCTCCATTCACTCTCCTGACCTTTGTGCTTTGGACAGAGGTTTACCCTCCATTCTGGACCTTTGAATCTTTGTTCTTCTCCTCTTAGCAGGATGATACATAAGATCAAAGCCACTGGGGGGGGGGGGAAACATACTTTAGTGTAGCCTTTCCTTTTTTGCCCCTGAAATTTGTCCCATGAAGAGGGTGAGTTATCCAAACCAGAATCCATTAAATCTAGGGTGACCAGATGGTAAGTGTGAAAAATCGGGACAGGGGGTGGTGGATAAAAGCGCCTATATAAGAAAAAGCCCCCAAAACCAGGACTGTCCCTATAAAATTGGACATCTGGTTACTCTAGTTAAATCTGACTAGGGCACTCAGGAGATGTTTTTTCGAATAGAATTTGAGGCCACTACTCTGTTAAAATAGCTCGTTGTTGGCCTCCAGGCTGAGCCAGCCAAGCCAATGAGAAATTACCTCCCCAGAGACCTCCAGAAGGAGTTGGTGATTCTTTCTGATGAGGTAGTAAGACACTAGCCTCAACAAGTAGAAGTTTCCCAGCAATCAGAAAAGCAAGATTTTTAAAAAGGTGTGTCTAAACTTAGGCTTCTACCAGCAAGTCTATATTCAACTACCTCAGTAAGTGGCATTATTTTTGTAAGTGTTGAATACCCAGATCTGCTGTCTTTAGAGCTGCATTATGCATGGGAATACAAAATAGGAATATTGGACCAGGATATGGTCAATTGTGCTTTTTTTGGTTTGTGAGCTACTCGTAACGGTAGTAAGGCAGAAACCTCCCTGTAACTCTGGCAAAAGCAGTTTAAGGGGAAACTCTCCTAATCTAAAGCCAGACAGTGGAGCAGATCCACTAGAGGGGGGAGCTCTCATGAGGATTGCACCTCAGATCCCAATCAAACCTGTGAAAGATTCCCAGGACTTGGACCATAGCCTCCTGGGCCAGAGAACAGGTAGAGATAACTCTGTTTTCTCCCCATCTGGCTAAGCATATCAGGGACAGATGGGTACAGGAGATACTCTGCTGAGGTCACTCCATACTAACACTTCATTCAAATCAAATATAAGAAAGTTTGGTCTTGTAGTTAAGGTCCTGGACTGTAAATCAGAAGATCTGAGTTCAGTCCCAGCTGCCTCACCGACCTCCTGTATGACCGTGGGCCTTACATTTAACCTTTCTGTGTCTTAGTTCCTCATTTGTAAAATGGGAATGATTGTATTTCCTTTTCTCCTACCCTTTGTCTTGTCTATTCAGATTAAAAGCTCTTCAGAGCAAGGATATTTTATTATTATGTGCATATGTAACACCTAACACAATGGCACCCTGATATCAGTTAGAGCCTGAAAAAGCTACTGGAATACAACAATAATAATTGTTATAATTAATAAAATAACAGCAAACTCCACAGGCCCCCTAAGAACAACAACATGAGCAGTGTTCTCCAACAGATAGGAATCAGAAAGCAAATACTTCTTTCATGGAGATTAGTATAATTATGTACTCTCTTATAGGCATAGGAGGTCCACAATAAGAACTGGGGACTTTGAACTGTACAAGCCCTTCAGATCATTAAACAAGAGCACCAGGAAGATAAATTTAGGATGGAAACTCTGGCATCCACATTAGCATCTCTTTCCACCGGGGATTGCCTTACACCGACAGATCTTGTGGATGTTTTTATTCTCCACATCCCTTTTTGTCCCTGCCTCCATCGTTATGGATGTTAATTTAATTTGTGTTACCAAAATGAATACTACTAGGACAAAATTCTTCCTTTTGGTCTCTAACCTTCTTTCTAAATGTTAATGGAAATCCTTGTACTGACTGTATCTCCTTTTTCATGTTTGGACATCTTAAGAGTCCAGCAAGCTGCCCAGATGGTCATTATGAAGTTCAAAACCCATGAGTTTGATCAACATGAGTGAGAAGACCCTGGTCCCCAACCAGTGGTCAGGTCAGGAAAGAACTCAGAGCATAATAAATCTGCTAGAGTTAAGAACAATTAGTTTAGCTCTGGTGGAATTTCAGCCTTTTATTGATAGGCCACTAAATACTAGTCACATCAAATATAAGCTACAATGGCTTATCTGAACAGATGTTCCTAGTTCAACAGGAAAGAAGTGTTCTTTTTTTCAGTGGACTTGGCACGACATTCCTCCTGTTATTGCGATGTACTAGCATGGACAAAGCATATATCAGCAATACACCAGGAGAAGTGGAGTGTCACTAAGGAGATGTTTTAACCTTGTAGTGGACAGAACTATTGGCTGGGACTTGACATCCCTGAGTTAGAAAGAAGTCAAAAGTGCAAAATTGCTTCATCAGCTAAAGGAATTCCCAGATGAGATAGAATCATAGAATATCAGGGTTGAAAGGGACCTCAGGAGGTCATCTAGTCCAACCCCCTGCTCAAAGCAGGACCAATCCCCAACTAAATCACTTGATTCCGCCCCCTCCCCCCCAGATTTCACAGAATTCTACCCTGTGATGACATGTGACAAGTGAAATTTCAGGAGATTGGGTTCTTTTTCGTGAGAAAGTCTGGATAATAGGAAACCAGCTTCAATTATTGTTGTTCCATAATAAAGATTAGAACTTCTCCCGTTTTAATAGCTTCCCTCTAAAGCATTCATTCAAGAATCAAAGTCAATCCATCAAACAACAAAAAGAAAAAGGAATCTAAACAGAATAACTGTATATAGTGAGAGATGCAGAACTGTTGAGCTGAATTAAAATATCTGTATTAACATCCTTTGATGTTCCATAACCAGTATCAATGTGCTGCTATAGGACACTGTCACAATTCTGAATCCTTGGAAGTACCTTAAGATGTAGAACTTCTTAGTAACAGTTGCTATATAAAATATCAAAAGATAAAATTAATATTAATTATGACCATTAGCTACATCTCCTAAGAGCTTATATAATAATGGTCAACAAAAATATTTATATATCTTCCTTAAAGACCTAGGAACACATTCCCAGTTTTTGCAGAATGCATGCAGGATACAAATAGCCAGAACATTGCCTGCTATCTAGATGTTTTTCATTCAAAATACCATCTGGGTAAAATTTAGAATGATCATAAATAATCCTATTGTGCAAAGAGTTGGATATTCTCAGCAACAAAACAAGCCATCAACAAGATAACAATATACAGACAACTACACTATATAGGTATGTTGTTAATGGTAGTGGAATGAGGACTTTTGCCTATGTTCTGCAGGTTAACATTAAACTACATTTCATAATATACCTGTCAGTCTTGGTGTTTCTGATAGGTACTGGAGAAGGCAGAAATTATTCAGGCTACTACAGGAATGCTAGTGTTGTTGCATGTTCAGAAGTACCCCCACCTCGTCAAGCATACTGAGGGAATGTCTGATAATCTGTTATGTTTTCTCTGCACTACAACCACACTCTTGTAACAAAATCTTGCAGATGTTTTAGCTAGGGCCACCTACTCAACGTCTTCCTTCCCCTTCACCATCCTGAGGAAATCTGTGCAAAACATCTGTGAGAAGAAATAGCAGTAATACCATGTCACAACTGGGACATGGGAGCTCTGACCTAATGGTCTGAGCAGGAGTCAGGACCCAGGTCAGGTCAGATACCAGGAGATCAGAGTCTGAGATATGCCTGAGGGCAAACCAAGAATCAGATGTCAGGAGACAGGCAGGGTCACATTACCAGGAGACCAGAGTCAGGCAGTAGGAGCAAGTAGTGCAAGGGATGCAGTCCTAAGCAGGAGAAACCCCGTTGCATGGACAATTTCCTGTTCCTGTGCTTTGTTTAAATAGAAGCAGGGAACCAGTCAGGACCCCAGAGTTCCAACAGTCAGATCCCCATAGTAGAGTCCTGTCAGAGTTGAGCTTCTAGTTCTGGGTCATAGGATGGCAGGTGTGAATTAACTGGCTCCTAAGAGCTCTGTGAGGCAAAGCTTGATTTGGGAAGTGATTAAAGCCCAAGATCTCCCTGGTAGCATTCTCTGAAATGCTTCAGTTCTACTTTGAGTGCTTGCTCATGTCCATTCCATGTTAGGTGTGTGCACGCCGCTTGCACCATTGTCCGAGATTTTCCCCTCAGTAGTATAGCCTGAGGAATTTCTCACTTTGTCTTTAGAATGTCATGGGGGAAGTGAAGATAACATCCCATTAACTGAGTTGGAGGAAAGAATATCCTCAGAACACAGTTGGGCAATAAAATCTCCCAAAAGAGCAAAGATTTCTGATAGAAATATTTTGAATTAACAGGTCAATAAAAGATTCAAGCTCTGCCCATAAAGACTCGTAGAAAGGAAAGCGCAAAGTGGGAAATTGAACATTAATGGTAATAGAAT